CTGGAATCAGTTCTGTTGATCAGCTAGTTAACCGTTTGTACAGTATAGAAAACTGAATCAACAGCGTGTCATAAAAATTGAGGGCCAAACTGAACGGTTTACTTATTTTTTTATTTTAGCTTTTCTCTAGTTTTTCTATGTGCAATTACTTATTTTGAGCAGTTTATCAATTTTGTTTTATTTCTGTATTTTGCATGCATGAAAGATGTCATTTAAATAAAGTTCATTATATATTATTACTATTAGTATTATTATTATTAATTGTCTTGTTAACCGATTTGCTATCTTGCCTCCTAGTTATTGAAACCACTGGATAACATTTTTTTATATGAAACAGGTTATTTTAATAGTGTGTTTTGCGGTGAATTCAAACCTGTTTTTAGTTTTTTCTAGATAGATTGACACTTTATTGATCCCGAAGGAAATTTAGCAGCCAGTAGCAGTCACACAGCACAGCACAGTTATAATAATAAGGGTGGTACAATTAAGCAATAGAACACGAGAGGGAGTGCGTTATCACGAAATAACATCACGGCTGTGATTTGATCGCCGAAGATCATCACAGCCGTGATGTTATTGGTGATAACACACTCCTCGAGTGTTCTATTGCTTTAATACAACAGTTAAATAAATACAGTAATAAATTAATAAACTGGGCCGTGAACGCGGCGTTTAATATGTTTTAATGTTCGCAGTACCTTCACCAAATTATAGTTCCTTAACGAGCAGCTTGTTGCTACGTCAGAGTAACGAGCCCCGCCCACTCGCTGCACAGCCTGCTGTAAGCCTCGCCTTTTGAAGTACTGAGCCATAAAACTGCCGCAATATCAAGTTTAGCTCAGTTTTGTCAATTTTTTCCAGATCAGTATTAATGTTGTTTTGTTCCAGCCAGTCTGTAAAGCATCTTACAGCCCATTTAGTTTGGCGAATGGTGTTGGGTTCATTTCTGGCTGATTCCAGGTTGTTTAGCTGTTCTTCTGTCTCAGCTGCCGACTGAAAAGCTGCTCAGTGGTGATGACAGTTTGGGAATTTAGTGTCGTCTCATCTTCAGAGTCTGACCAAATCGGCTGTCGGTCAAATGTGATCTTAAAAGTGTCCGTTTTCTGTTTGTGGCAAAGTAAGAAGTAAAAACACTCAAATGGCTTGAGCGTCTCCTACAGCTGTCAATGCTGTTGCTTAGCAACAATATATTTTTAATGACGTTACACCCCACAGCTCTGTGCAGTGTCATTATATCACTCACGATTTCACAGCAGCTTCCGCCTCATGTTTTCCCAAAACGTTTTCTGTAATATTCTTGAATGACAGCCACGCATATTTTCCTTGGCTTTACGATCTACAACGATCTACACAGTCATTTTATTTACTATCTAAAACCACCAGTGAGCCTACACACGTCTTCTGTGGTTTTATGTGGTGCTGATGATGGTAAAATAGTGTAAGTCAACAACTTAAGTCAAGTCCTCTTTGGGGACTATTTCGCCTCACAGTGCCCTGCAGGTACCCCTCCACCATAAACAACAACATTTCAGACCTAAAGCTTCTCAAAACTGAAACAGTGTCTCAGCCATCAGGCAGTGAATTCATAACCATTTCATGTAGTAACTTTCTGTGAGGGAGCTTTTAGAGGTGGACGTCTGGTTCCTATCACCACCACTGTGAACAGTTCTGACTCTAAGTTTCTCTAGAACAGAGCGTTTCACACCAAACCACTCTGAACGACTCTGTTTACATCTTAACCGTTTAATTATGCAGACATTTTGAATACATTTTTGTAATTCCCCATAAATATTGATCAAAGCTACTGAATATCTGAACTCCTGGGGCCGTATTACAGAAAATTCTTAAGTCTGAGATCTGTTTTGTTGTCAGTTAAGAATGAAAGTTAGGACAGAAGCCATTACAGAACAACAGTTCTTAAGTCTATAATCTTATTTCCAGACAAGAAAAGCGTTTTACAGAAACATCCTAAGTAGGCAAAATATCCTAAATATTTTCTTAACTTTAAGATAAACTCCAGAGCGTCTTAACTTCTGTTTTAATCGTCTGATTCTATTGTTTTATGCGCTGATAGGCAGCATAATTCACTATAACCAGCATAATGGGCTCCATTTATTTCTACTGTAAAACGCTGCTTTCACTGTGAGATGATTTTCTTTTCTAATTCTGCTTTTTAAAGATCTCAGACGCTGCAGACTCGATCTCCACCGCCCCTCTGATCACCTTCGTGTGTTAATGTTGATGATGAAATATTACAGTGATGGTGGTGAATAATGAGGAGACGGAGCTGAACGTGTGTCTCGGCTAAAGCGTTTGGGAAATGGAGACTGAAACTGGGGAGCGACGACGCTCTGATAAACAGCAGGGGGCGCTCTCACAGTACTCTTAACTCTCAGTTTATCGCGCATTAGTTTTACTTGACTTTCTTTACACCAGTAATGGTAGCTTACGTCAGCTGTCTGACTTACTAACTTGATTACGTGTTTACTAGATTCAGCGTGTAAGGTTGGTTGCTAGGTAACAGAAACGATGATTATCGACTTCAATTGAGTAAGTTAAGATTTCCTAATTTGAGATAAAAAAAGATGCTGTAAGATAAGATTCTTAAATTAAGGTAAGATTTTCTTCTGTAATACGAATTTGTGAAAAATCTTATCTGGACCTGTCAGATCTAAGTTAAGACAAAAAGATAAGAATTCTCTGTAATACGGCCCCTGAGCTCAGGCACTGCTAAGTGACACTCCACAGTAATTTCTCCACAGTTTTCTCAGTGGAGTAAATGCACACATACTGAGGACACTGTGTTATAAAGTCTTCAGTCAATTCTGTAAAAGCCTGTGTAATATCACTCTCCATCTGCATCCAGGGCGATAAAAACATAAAGATGGTTATAAAGTCAGTTACCGTAAATTTGTCACCAGGTGTTTTCCGTTTGGAGAGGGGGGAGGAAGAGGGACGGAGTTTTCTCCGCCTTCAGGGAGCGTCTCTAAATCCTTGCTGTTTCCGGAGCATTCCTGAGGCGCTCGTTTCTGGGAGGTGTGGAAGTGCTGAGTTTCACTCGGTCATATTTGGGCTATAAATTGCACCCAATTGTGGAATTCGCAAGTCTGAAAGAATGCGCTGGTTTCGTTGAACAGTGGTTTCGATGTTATATGATGTACTTAACTTTCCTTTCAGAGGTTCGCTTACAGGTTAAAATCTTCGTGACATCTGACCATGTCTTGTTTTCTCAAACATGATTATTGTGCTAAAAATCTGAAGCTGGAATATGAACACAGACGTGACCAGGGCTTTCCTGAGAGCAGAGACAGTCGCAGCAGGCAATCGTGGTTATCTGCTGCCCTCTGCTGCTCTGCTGCAGGACTGAGGTTTTCAGTTGTTGAGATCTTTCAGGAATCCCTCAGTCTTCTAATGAAACCACAATGTTAGATTCTGTGCTTATGGGCTTATGCAGACATTTTACTATATTTAATTTAGATATACATCAGGCATAACACTCCTTGTTTCTACGCTCATTGTCCATTTTATCAGCTCCACTTACTATATAGGTGCACTTTGTAGTTCTACAGTTACAGACTGTAGTCCATCTGTTTCTCTGATACTTTGTTAGCCCCCTTTTACCCTGTTCTTCAGTGCTCAGGACCCCCATGGACCCTCACAGAGCAGGTACTATTTGGGTGGTGGATCATTCTCAGCACTGCACTGAGGTGTTTAAATACTCCAGCAGCACTGCTGTGTCTGATCCACTCGTACCAGCACAACACACACTAACACTCAATAATATCTTGGCCTGTTTAACCCTCCCTCGAGTTATCATCGAGCAAGAACGCCAATCATCACCTCCGCTCCAAAATAACTTCTTCAGGCAGAAAGGGTTTTTTTGAACTTTTTAATTCGTTCTGCAATTCATTTTCCTTCAGACCTTTTTTTGTTTGAGAGGCTCACCTGGTTTTGGCGCAAGTCGTGGGCTCTTCACTGCTGGAGAAGACGCTGGTTCTTCTCTTGATGTTTCTGGTGATGCGGGTTTGGCGTCCCCGTCTCCCTCAGGGCCGCTGGGGATGATGGGACGCTCCACCTGAGACTGCTGCATTTTCACAGGATCTACTGGAGGCACGCCTCCTCCCAATTCAAATGCTGAGTCCATCGGCTCACCTGTTCACACACACAGACTGTTAACATCAATATCAGCCTGATATACCTGAACATAGCTTCATATTCTTTCTCTATACCTCAATGTAAACACTTTAGCCACTCTATTGGAAACAGCTACCTAACTTATAGGTTCACCTTGATGGTGTACAGTCACAAATTGTAGACTGACATACACAGTCTTTATCAGCCATCCTCAGTGGTCACCAACTCTGTTCCTGGAGATCTATAATACTGTTTACCCTTCATGTATTTAATTTTTTTGTCAAAACAGCCATTAAGTACTAAGTTACTAATTTCTCAAGAGATATTTGTGAGGAGATTAGATAGAAGATATTAAAAACAGATCAAAAGCTGAAGAGAAAATGGGGTTCCTAACAACCACCTGGAAAACCTGGTAGACACCAAAACTGCCCCCATCAGATAAACAGCACTTAAAGCTTTCATCTCTGAGAGAGAGGAGAAAATCAAGCTGATCAGATCTGAAAACATCCACAGGTGTTTCTGTCCATCCTTCCACTGTGAGAAGACGACTCAGCGCTGTGGGTCTGAAAGGATGTGTAGCTGATCAAGAAGAACCTCACTGAGAAAAGGAGACGGACACATCAAACAAAGAAGCTGAACGATGGACTGACCACCCCAGAGTCCAGACCTCAACACCACTGAATGTGTTTGATTACTTCAGAAAATGATCAACCAGCTTCTAAGACTGAACTTTGGAGGTGTGTCTGCAGATTCTTTGAGGAACTGAAAGTGAGTCTCCTGAAAAGAATGGAAGCTGAAATAAAGAGAAAGAGTGACACAATAAATACTTACAAAACTAATATGATATTTCGTTATTGATGCTTCTGAGTCTTATTCTGTTAAATTATGGCCATTTTGACTGGAAAATAAATAAATGAAGGGTCTCTAACTTTTTACGCTTTTACTTGAGGTGGAACTTAAAGTGGTCACGGAGAATCAGTACAAGGTAAGTGTTTCTAATAAAGTGGCCATTGATATAGTATCAATATGAACAACTTGCCAGGAAAGCTAGTAAAGGCAATCATTCTGTCCGAGTGCGGAAAATCAAATGATCATGCAATTCATTTGCATTTCATTTACATAAGATGATTATAATCGATTATAACAGAACTGAAACAAAAAGTGGAAGCAATCAGCCATGAGGTCACTGTTGTGCAAGAATACATCATCAGCATTTAGTATTTCGAAACATTAGGTTTCTTGTCAGAAACAAACCAAAATGCGGCATCACAGGATGAAAAATTAACGTAGGGATGTGTTTGTGCATGCAAATCAAAAATCACTATATAGTGATAGAGCTGGATGACGAAAAAATTTACTAATAGACATTTTATTCCCTGCAGTGAAACATTTCTCCAAAATATTTCTGAAATATTAGCAAAACTTTTAGATTTAAAATGTCTACTGCATTCCTCCTGTTCTATAACCCTTCTGTCCAACGAGTGCAGCCACCCAGCAGCCAATAAGGGCCGTTCTTTCAGATCCTGTATTGATTTTTTTTCCAACACATTGAATTGAACTGGCTTTATTTAGCTGCATTTGTTTAATCTTGGCTAGTTTGCTGATTTTTAATCACGGAAAGCAGCAGCGAGGGCGATGCGCAGGCCTAGTAGAGCTCCGTCATAGCCGACTTACAGACAGCTGAGAACTGAGATGCTTTTGGAGCTACAGGCTCATTTAAACATGAGGAGAACCACCCTAGAAGCGACTCAGCAGGTACCCTGGCCACGGTACCGAGCTCCGAGACCATACTGAAACTGTGATCTGGGATCACCTGCACCCCACGGAGCACACCTCTCAGTCCACAGCCTAAAGGCTTGCTGGCTGGAGTTCAACAGCGCCGATGTTGTTCTCTTTCAGCACTGCCAGAACTCACCACAACAAACAGGTTCAATAATGTCCGGCTGCAGAGCCGCAGATTTACACCCGCAGTTTCACATCAGCGGTTTCAGGCCAGTGGAACGCATGCGCAGTAGGAAAGCCCTTATAGGAAAGTTGAGCGTTCTCATTCATATTTCAAGCAGTGGCCAGTCTCCTCATTTATAACGTCTCTGATGTAAACAGCAACTGTTTGTGCTGCTTGTACATGTCAGCGTACATATTACCGTTCAGCAAGTTGCTAATATACAAATCAGCCATTGGAAACCGGTTAAACCATCAGCCAAAACACTTTACGAAACCATCAGAAACCAAAAGAAACACTTGATGGTTTCTTTCAGCACGGATACGTTCAAAAACGTTTGTTTAGCGTGAAGCTTAATATTAAGCTCAGTTTATTCCTGTGCATGTAATGTAAGTGTACACATAAAGCTCCTATATTAAGGGTAAGTTAACTGAGCTATGTGTCTACATAACACATTAGTTTACCCAGAGCCACAACAGCTGTAGTTCGTGTAATACTTACCCAGTGAATCTCTATATGCGTCCAAACCAAAGTTTGTTTTAGCCTCACGCTTAAAATATAACATTAGCCCAACGCAAATTTATTGGAAACCCACATAAAACGACTGTAATGTTGATTACCCTAAAGTTCGCTAAGAAAAACCACAAGGGTCGGCGCATGTGCTGAATGCCACTGGCTTGAACCTGCCGGAGAGAAACTGCTGGCGTGAAACTGTGGCTCTGAGGCTCCGCAGGCAGACCCTTCAACAGGTTTGAGGCTCTGAGCTCCCCAGTTTTAGCGTCACCCTCGCCAGAGACAAGCAGCGCTCAGATAAGGATCACTGAGTGCGTTTACATCCACTTAGTAACCCGATAACTGCAGGAAATCAGATTTTGTCAGAAATCTGTTCAACGCATTTACGTGCACTTGAGTAATCAGATAATGGGAAACTCCAGATCTACATGAGTGAGACAGTAATCAGATTTCTGCTTTGCAACCAGCCAATAAACTCACAGAAGACGACGCGACGTAAACATAACGTAAAACTCAAACTTTTCATACATCATCTAGCAGAAGAAGGATAATATGAAAATCTTTCATTCCGTCAAGGACGCGGTGGGTCTCTTCTTTAATCCAAAGGTGTTTTGTTGCTGTCTCGTAGGTGCTGTTACGCTGCTTTGTGAGAAGGTCTGGCTGCAGACATGCACTCTCAGCCTGACATGCACCGCCAGCCTATTAATGACACCAGCGCTGCTCTGACACGACAGAGTTTTTGTCGGTTTTATGAGGAAAAAAAGTGAAACACGAACTGCTGGGCACCAAGAGATACACTGAATGTATATTAACATTGCGATACTGATAATAAAGTAATTAAATATGGAAACTTTCAAAGTAAAACCACGTCGATAAAACAATGTCGACTTTATTCGCAGGAAAAAACTATGGCTACTGCTGAAACTCATAAAAGAAATGCTGAAGACGATTAGAACCATTAGGAATAAAACCTGATGGTTTTGCTTCCTAACTGGAATTGGCTTGATGGCGGCTGTTAGAGACTATTAAGAAACGATCAAATGTATGTGGAATCAGTCCCAAAACACCTGATTAAACACTTTTAATGGGTTCTATGACTTTTTTTAAGTGATGACGTCGCTAAGCAGCAGCAGCCAGAAGTTCCCGTGCTGTTGGGCGGCTTCTGCCACTGTGGCAGAGTGCGCATGTGCACGTGACGTCACTGGGGCTGAGAGTGCATCTGTCTGAGAGTGCAGGTCTGCAGCCTGACTCAATTGTGTTTTGCTGCTGTTGCTGTTTTCACAGGCACAAATAAGAAAAACGAAAGAAATCAGAGTAAGGGGTTTAAAAGCACTGAAAAACCCCATTACTGAGCTAAAATCCAGCTCTCTTTTTGGATTTCATAGGATTTCTAGGCCTTAATTTGATCTGAGAAATTAGATATGCTGTTTACACGACCACCTGCGTAATCAGAGAACTGTGGATATCAGATTATGATCGGATTATTAAGTGTATGTAAATGCACTCACAGCGCTTTGGTGGTGTAACGGTTATAAATCATGGTCTCACGGTCTACAGGATTGGCTCACAGCGCACGTGATGTGAACTTGAACTGTGGTTGTTTTTTGTCTCACCATAGAGATCACAGTCAATCACAAAGTGCGCAGGCTATTGATGGCACAGCCAACGGCTTCCAATGATGTTCGGCGCCAAACACTGCTTGATCTTTGACCGTGCTCACGCAATAACAGGCAAGAGGTCAGTTCAGTGGCAGAACTTTGTAAAGAGCTGGACGCAGAGCTCACTGCAATTATGATGGACAGCTGGACAAGTTGTTCCATCAGCTACTCTTGATAAAAGTAAAACTTAAAAACCGAAGGATGGTTAGATTTATTTCACTTGATATTAACATTTAATTTGTTGGCTGTTTCTTATACTGGCTGATTGTTTTTGTTGTTGTTTGCTGATGTTTACATTTATTTTAGTTTTTTTTCCAAACTTTATTTAGCAGCATATTTCTAAAATAATAATAACAATAATAATAATAATAATAATAATAATAATATCTTTATTCAGTGGCTGTATGGAAAGCAAGGAGACGTGGATGCCTATAACCTAATGATTTTTTGAATTTGTCCAAACAATAAGAAAAACATTTCTTTTAATGGTCTTTGCTGATGAAGTGTGTAGTAGTTTAGGGACACAATTTCTGTGGCAATGCTTACTAAACAGAGAAACAAACACCAACATAACAAACAAACACTCCAGTATTCTAATTATTCAGACCAGCCCTGTAAATATTAGTACATCAGTTGTTTGAAATATGGCTGCATACAGGCAAAGGAACCACATCAGTCTATTAATGAAGAGCAAGAGCACAAATTTTCAGTAACAACTTGGAAAAAAAGTAACTTGTTTTCTTTATTTCCCCAATTGTACAAGCGATTTTTCAAAACTATCATGATAATTGTTTTTTATATCATCCAGCTCTATGTTTTGAATGTAAGAAAGTAAGAAATACACAGCATGAGCCCAAGCAGTCTTATCTGAGGGGAGCCTGAGAGCGCACCTGAGAAAAAAGACTGGGATATTCCAGCAGCTATAGCTACTGTCCGCTGAAGAGAGGAAGTAAGAGGCTCTAGGAAGCCTCTGATCTCTTCGAACACACCTAAGATTGCATGATCAGACAGACAGTTTGACTTTACAGAGTGAGACAGAGGCTATATCTGCAGGAAATGCTACAATTCAACTGAAAACAGATGGTTCTATTGCAAATAAAAGCTTTAATAACGGCTCTCCCAGCACCAAAGCACATTTCCAGCGTGGTCAGTTGAGCAATATCAGATAAAATACAGTGTACTTTAATGTTTTTAGTGTGTACAGATGAGGATGCACTGGCTACGTTTACATGCAAAGATCCAATTGAATACATTAACCATCATAGATTAAGACTGAGGTGTTTTTATTCGCACTCTACTCAACAATCTGATGGAAAATCTCTGTTTACATGCTCACTACAAGTAATCCAATACAAAATTACGCGCAGGCGCAGAGAACAGCTTAGTGTAGACGTTACCATGACAAGCAGCATCACGTGAGTCCAGTCAGAGTGAGATGAGCAGCAGTGAGCAGTGCTTGTGTTTTTAATGGCTTTAAAATGATGTCAGACTCAGGAAAACGTCCTTCACGTGTCCTTATTAAAGAAGGCCGAGAGGAAGACGTCGTGTTCTGAGACACATAAGCTGGTCGTCCGTCCCACCGCCGTCTTTTAAAGACCAGAGCATAAACTTCGCCTCCTCTGCAGACCAGTTTCTGCTCCGCCATGTTGAACGGTATAAACTCTCACTATGACGCGACGAACATGATCAGAACGGACTTAAACTTTCCGATAGGGAATGTAATCAGATACAGGCGTTTACACGGATATTATTCTTCTATTTAACGGATTATTTACAGGATTACCCACCTCGATCAATCGGATAGAAATTGTTTTCCGAATGGCCTCAATCGGACTAGACTATTCCGACTGAGGTGTTTACATAGAGTGCACAACTCCAGTCCTGGAGGGCCGGTGTCCAGCACAGTTAGGAGGTTTCCCTGCTCAAACACACCCACTTAACCTGGCAATTAACAGATAAATGTAATCAGGTGTAAGAGCAGGTAAATCACCAAACTGTGCTGGACACCAGCCCTCCAAGACCGGAGTTGGACACCCCTGATGTATTCTATTCCGACTGAGCTTCCAACAGAGAGAGGAGAAATAAAAAGCGTATTTTTTCTCTTTTTCTGTGTCTGGCAGGAGCATGTCAAAATTTTGACTTAGTACCTCAAAACAAGGTGCAAAACATTTTGAAATAAATGTCAAGAAGATGAGTATCTATTTTCAGGATAATGAGTCAATATTAGAGTAAATAAGTAGTTAATTTGAGATAATGGCTGCGTTCCAAAGCCTAGGCTTCAGGGTCCTCGACTGTCCTATAAAGACTCCTCCTTAGTAGCCTATTGGTCACAGAAATGGAACAGTCTGAACATGGCTGCGTGGTGACATCACCAGAAAGGTCCCTCCTCTTGCGATTGCAGCACGAAACTTGTGAGGGAACTGGTGAGAAAAATTGGAGCCCTCTGCATTGTGTTTCTTGCTTTTTCATTTTTTTTCCCAATTTTCTCCCCAATTTACTCGTCTCCAATTCCACCCGCTAGTTAGGACTCACCCAACCACACGATACTACCAACACTAGGAGGGAGAAGGCTAACGCAGGCTTCCTCCGAGACCCGTGAAGCCAGCTACCGCATTTTTCCGAACTCACAGCGTAATTTTTTCTTTCGCATCGTTCGTGCGTAGAGAACTGCAGGTAACCGATCGCCTGGAAGGATCTGTTGAGTCTTCGAAACCATTCAGGACGTAGGCTGCACTTCTAGGCTGTATACGAAGGTTCCTCTTTGGAACGGCCTGCTCTGACGTAGCAGCCGACAAACGCAGCCTCCCTCGGCTTCAGCCTAGGCTTTGGACGCAGCTAATAAGACAATCATTTGAGAAAATAGGTCATTATTTCAAGATACAGATCAGAGCTAATCTAAAAAGTTCCGAGGTAAAATTATTCCAGCATAGGGCTGGGCGATAAAACGATAACGATAATTATCGCGATATAACTTTTCCTCGATAGAGCGATACGACATGTTCGATAAATGTTCGATATAATACACCATTCTCACACCTCCACGTTCAGCGAAAGCCTTCATGGCGTTTTCTACTGCAAGGAAAGCTACACTACTCTGCTGTCGCCAGGGGAGGGCGCACTTCCGAGTTTTTCGACATGATTAGAGAGGGAGGGGGCCACGAGGAAGATGAGTCTTCAGCAACGGCTGAAACGCGGAGTTATACATTCACAATCCTCACAACTACAGCGCTGTTGCAGCGCTCGGACAGTCATAATTTAGTATTAGTGCATTCCCAAGCAACGAAAGTGAAAGAAAGAAGTGGGTTCATGTAAATTACAGCCCTGATTTAAACGAAAGTAAACTGAGGAAGCTGTGAGGCATTGGAGAGCGGGAGAGCGCTAGCTTTCCAGGCTAGCTGTTTTTAGCAGCTGGCTAACCTGAAGCAGCTCCGTCACTCCACAACACGGAGAACTGATGATACTGTAGATCAAACACGAACCTAAAGGAGGACTCTGTTTGTCTGGTGTTGATATTTTGCGGTTCACCCCTTAAACTACTACGATAGTATAGAGGAATCCAGTCGTCTAGCTGGTGTCTGAATACTGTGATGTCATGTGTAGCGGGGTAGCCGAGCGCTCGGCACCAGCTAAAAATAATCTGTTATCTTTCTTAAATTATGACTATTAGAAAATAGTCGTGCTTTTCCAGCTGGTAAAAACAGCTCAGCAGACACTCTCTCCCACTCTCCCATGACAGATCTGTGAAATGTTCCATTGTTTGGCGAGTGTTTATCATGTTCTGAACATAAAGGATAGTTTAAAACACGATATCGATATCGAACGATATGAATTTTGTTTATCGTGATAACATTTTTGGCCATATCGCCCAGCTCTATTCCAGCATAAGTTAAAATTTTACCTTAAGGGATTTTTTACGCTGGAGATGACCGGATCAGTCAATCCTAAAAGGAAAGTTGCTAAGCTACACACTCACAGCGCAGAATTCTTACTGAAATTCTGAATAAATTGAGAAAATTAAGAGCTCCTCTCTTCCTTTTGCCTGTCAAGCTCTCACAGCTCAAACACAAACAAGCAATCAGAATGCTGAGCTGACAGAAGCAGCATTTTAAAGATCATATTAATAAAAGATTTTAAATAAGCTGAATTTAGGAAACCTCTGGACCGTTTAAGTCAGACTAGATTTGCGTAGCAGGGTTTTAGTGGTCAGCACATTCACTCAAACAACAAAAAAGAAATTGTGAGAAATTTTGGATGACGAACTCACCATCACACCCACCGTCACACTGACCCACAGGCAGCTCCCCTTTAGAGAGGAACTTCTTCACCTTCTTCAAGATCTTCTTATGTGTTTTTGAAGGCTGAAAGTCCAAGGCATGGCATCTTCAACAAACACAAACCAAGAATTAGTGCTGATGCTCCACGTTTACCTCACACATCTACACATGCAGGATTTTCCAAAAGAAAATCTGTGACTTATACACATTATGACATTACACACATATATATACACCGATCAGGCATAACATTCTGACCACCTCCTTGTTTCTACGCTCATTGTCCAGTTTATCAGCTCCACTTACTATATAGGTGCACTTTGTAGTTCTACAGTTACAGACTGTAGTCCATCTGTTTCTCTGATACTTTGTTAGCCCCCTTTTACCCTGTTCTTCAGTGGTCAGGACCCCCATGGACCCTCACAGAGCAGGTATTATTTGGGTGATGGATCATTCTCAGCACTGCAGTAACACTGACGTGGTGGTGGTGTGTTAGTATGTGTTGTGCTGGTACGAGTGGATCAGACACAGCAGTGCTGCTGGAGTTCTGGCCCACAGAAGTGTGTGGGTTCCTAAAACTTCTCAGTTTTCAAATATTTTTGAACTTATTAATATTCAATAATATTTTATTTCAGCCCTAACAGACACATATTTTTCTGTAACGGTCTCTTTACCTGATGGTGTACTGTGGACAGCAGGTCTTGTTCATGACAGGCTTGTAAACATATTTGCCACTTCTGAGAATTAAAGAATAAAAATGCAAGTCAGCTTAAAATTCAAAATTGAGGAAAAGACAGTTTGTATTATACTTTTTGAAAAACATTTCAGGACCCGGGTTTTCAGAAAGCTGCTTTGTGACAATGTCTGTCGTAAAAGAAGCACAATATGTTTAAAATAGAACTGAAAAAATGAATAAATGAAAAATGAAAATGGAAAGAGTTAATAAATAAATAAAACCTTATTTTATCAACCACACTGAAGATGTGTGATACTGCCAGTTATTTACATTTCATAATCCCCCAACAACAAATAATTCGTTCATCCCTTCATTAATTTCCAATTCCACACCCAGAGAGGCACACTGCACCCAGAAAGCAAAAGACTGCACCCAGAGACAGTGGCGCACTGCAACCGGACAGCAGGGCACTCTTCACATGGAGAGAGAGCCACACTGCACCCGAAAAGCAACACAGTGCAACCAGAGATAGCAGTGCACTACAATTGGAAAGAAGCCCACTGCACTCAGAAAGCAACACACTGCACACCAGATAGATTGGAGCACTGCAACCAGCAAGTGGGGCACTGCACCCAGAAAGCAAAACACTGCACCCAGAAAGAGTGCCGCACTACAACTAGTGAGAGAGCCACACTGCACCTAAAAAGCAAGACAATGCACACCAGAGAGACTGGTGCACTGCATGCAGAAAGCAACACACTGCACCCAGAGAGATTGGAGTACTGCAACCAGACAGCAGGGAGCGTTCTACATGGAGAGAGAGGCGCACTGCACCCGAAAAGCAGCACACTGCACCTGAAAAGCAGCATACTGCACCCAGCAAGATTGGCGCACGACAACCAGTAAGAGAGAGGCGCACTGCACCCGAAAAGCAACACAGTGCACATCAGAGAAATTAGTACACTACAACCACAGAGAGAGGCACACTGCACTCAGAAAGCAACACACAGCACACCAGGGAGATTGGCACACTGCAACCACAGAAAGGCGCACTGCACTCAGAAAGCAACACACTGCACACCAGAGAGATTGGCACACTGCAACCACAGAGAGAGAGGCACACTGCACCCAGACAGCAACACAATGCACCCAGAGACAGTGTTGCACTGCAACCTGACAGCAGGGTGCGCTCCACACAGAGAGAGAGGTGCACTGCACCTGAAAAGCAGCACACTGCACCCAGAAAGAGTGGCAAACTACAACCAGTGAGACAGGCTGAAAAAAAAAAAAAAAGCGATGCACTGCATCCAGAGAGATTGGCACACTGCTACCAGAAAACAACACACTGCACCCAGAGATAGTGGCACACTGCATCCAGAGAGCAGTACAGCTTGTAACATCAGAATTCAAACTTTCGGTCTCCCAGTGGTAGAGCCAAACTTTAGACAGGCGCATCAATTTGTGCCGCTGTCATACCCACAATTCTCTGCGCAGCACTGCTGCCCATCTCCACAGAAATCAACAGAAGGCGAAAGGAAAATGACTCATTCTGCTGTTATGTAAATGCAGCACCAGAGAACAAGACTACTCAGGGCCTTCACTGGAAGAGCTGATCACTCTTTCATAATTGATTTCAGAAGAAAAAAGAAAAAAAAAAAGTCTGACTTTTAATATTATAAGTTTTATAATAGGCTGTACTTTTCTAGAAATGTATGAAAAAAAAAGACGAGACGTCCTACCTTCTCCATCCTCGGTCAATCAGATCCTGGTAGTCCTGCACTGTCATCGCATGGGACCACATACCTGCACGAGGATAAACAGAAGCAAGACCACATGAGGAGGGATGAAGAACTCTGTTCATCAATCATCCAAACATTTAACATCTAACCCAGACTGTTCAGAACAAACCAGAACCCAGAAACTGCCTCATGACAGGGAAGTGAGTCGCCAAGCACGTACAGCAGCTTCTAAAACAGTGTGTCTGACCCCAGGCTGGTCCCATGAGGGCTCAGCTTTCCCATCGAGGCTCCAGAACAGACAGGAAGCCTTTAAAATCCCTAGTTTGGAGTTTTGGCAGCTTTTTAAGAAGAACATCCTCTTCTTCCAGTGAAAAAACTCTGAACGACTGAAGTAAGAAGTGAGAAGAAAACTACAAAGAACTGATCAATTACAGTATTGATAGATTTTGCAAATCTGCTATTAATAGAGCTCATTACTGCACAGTCTTACAGACACTACACAGATTTCTAATGTTAGCTCTATGTTAAAACCCCAGAAAGAGGCAAACTGGTTTCTGTTCCAGGGTTTTAATACAGATCTTATATATAGCCAACGATATAATATAATATAATATAATATATAATACTAACACCCAATGTAGTATCATAATGACCGATATCAAAGCAATACAATGGCAAAAAATTAGCACCTTGTCTGATCCCACAGAACTTTATTCAAATTGTTGACTTAACATCTCTTGTTATTATTATTATTATTATTATAATTATTATATTGTTTTTCAGATGTGGCACTACAGGTTCTATTTTGTCTGTTCCAAGTTGTTAAATATCAGAAAAACTAAATATCAGGATGCATATTGTGTATCGTGAAAATGTCCTTAAGTATCGCGATATATTTTTTGCCATATCGCCCACCCTTCAGTGATCACAATAATAAACCAGCAGGGTCGAATGATCCAAGCATAATAAAAATGTATGTATGTCTGTGAGATTAGATGGTAATATTCAGTCTGGCTGACTATACTGTGGAAAATGAGGGCCACTTCTTTCCCCATGAAGCCCCCGTTTGGCTAAATAAATGAGAAACAAAACGTAAATAAACATTACATTATGCACAGTTTAGACGTCATGACTAAATTGTCAGTGATCTGCATTTCTGAAACAATGGGCTTCATTTACCGTTCTTGAGCAGAAATATGTTCTTAAAACTCACTTGCGCAGTTTTCACGAAGGTTCTGACTCACCGATGTTCTCTTATGTGGGATTTGTTCTCAAGTAAGAACAGAATCTACACACTCAAGAGCACAAAGGTGAGAACAGTTCTGCGCTTTAAGAGCACGTCATGAATCTGACTTAGACTTTTTCTTAAGACCTTTCTCAAGAACACATTTAAGAACAAACTTAGGAAGATATTAGCGAATGAGGCCCTTTGTGTTCAGCGAAACTGAATAAAATATCGAGAAGGTCTGGCTGCAGACATACACTCTCAGCCGGACACGCACCGCCAGCCTATTGACGTCAGTGCCGCCCTGCCACCACAGTGTTTTTGTTGGTTTTATGAGGAAAAACAGCGAAACACGAACTACTGGACAACAAGAGTTACACTGAATGTATATTAATGTTGCCGTACTGATAATAAAGTGATTAAATATGGAAACTTTCAAAATAAAACCACGACGATAAAACAATGTCCGGTTTATTCGCAGAATAAAACAAAAAGGCTACTGAAACTCACGAAAGCCAGGCTGAAGACGATTAGAACCATAAAAACTAATATTGATTAAAATAGAACTTATTAAGGATTTAAGGTGGTTGTGACAACGTAAGTCAACGTATTTTTGCTGTCTCGTCAACGTTTTCACAACCTCCTAGAAAGTTGTCAGACAGCATTGTCATAACTTTGAGGAATGACATTTCAACATTGTGACACTGTAGAGAGCACCAAGCAGACGACGCTGTGGGCACCAAAACAGTACGTCGACACAACCTGATGGTTTTGCTTCCTAATGGGAATTGGCTTGACGGTTGCCGTTAGAGGCCATTAGGAAACGATCAAATGTATGTGGAATCAGTCCCAAAACACCTGATTAAACGATCAGAATACTTTACAGTGTGATACCAACCCATCAGGAAAACACAGAGCACCATTAGCGACTGAAAACCACCAGGAACCAACAGACACTTTTAATGGGTTGTATGATTTTTTTCAACAGGGAGGTACATTAAATTGAATCTCTACCTGTGTTATGGACAAAAATGGACTAAGTGATGATGTCGCTAAGCAGCAGCAGCCAAAATTTGACATGACATTGGGCGGCTTCTGCCACCGTGGCAGAGAGTGCATGTGCATGTGACGTCACTGGGGCTGAGAGTGCATCTGGCTGAGAGTGCAGGTCTGCAGCCAGACTCTATTGAAAATATCAGACTGCGCCATCTCAACTAACTGTTGCACAAAGCCTACAAATCACACTGTGGATAAAATAAACAGAAAATGGATATACAGCGCGATTCATCCGATTTCAAAGCGCCATATTTTTACAACCGAGAGGCGTCTAGGAACCAATCACAATCCAATTGAAAGGGGTCATAGAGTTTCTGACTGTCAGTGGAAGATGGCTCCCTTCAGTCTGAGAGGAGATGAGACCCCTGAGCAGAAAGCGTTCTGCGTTCTCCACTTCAATAAGAGTGAATCCGTCATAACTGTTCAGTGTGATTTTCGTGGGCAGTGAAGCTCCAACAGCTCAGAGCGTTCGGCGTTGGTTCCACAACACTGGATGATCTCCGAAATCGCACTGAAAGAGCCGAGAGTGCAGCGACACCCGACATGCTTAATCCAGTATGGGATGAGTTTGACTATGGTGTTGTTGTTGTCTGTACAGCTGGAGGAGGTTCATACTGAGACCTTGTACAATTACATAATAAACTTTATGCTCATTTAAACCGTTTACAGTTCACTGCACTGATCTGTAATGATTTATAAGTGAAATAAATCTGAATCACCCTGTATTTCAGCTGAATGTTTCTCAGAGCATTAGGTCACTTCTGTTACTGAATAAGACTGATGACCTGTATGTTTTAGATCTGCTAATGGACGTATTTGCCCATCTGAATCTAATCAGCATTCATCTTTCAACTGAGCCCCACACCGACAAACAACAGAGCATCTCTGGGAAGAATAAACATAAAACAGGCCCGTCACCAGCATAACCAGGTAAAAGCTGTCCACCCGCCTCCCATCCCCACTGCAGACTCTTATCGTCATGGAAACTGAGGTGAGAGGTCTCCTCGTCAACAAATGTGAGCTTGACCAGCCTGCTGCCCGGAAAGGACAACAAGGCAGCACAATAGTGTTCTGATTGTTTCCAAACATAATGGAAAGAGCAGACAGAGGGCTGAATAATTAATCACAACAGCATCTCCTGTCTGTCACTGCTTCACTGATAAAGTAGAACAAACACTAACAGTATAACGGCTGATTCTACTGAAGTGGTGCAAAGTCAGAAGTGAAAACACATTTTGGACTTTAGACTAAAATACTTTAACTATGCCACCCAGAACCACTCCAAGCTGAGTGGTTCCATTCATTATACACCAGTTCATTTCAGATGAGCTTTAGCCCAGAGAAATAGGCGGCGTTTCTGGATATTGTTGCTATATGGTTTACGCTTTGCATAGTCTTAACTTGCATTCGCAGATGCAGCGACAAACTGTGTTTGCTGAAGAGGGTTTTCCGAAGTATTCCCGAGCCGAGTGGTTACATTCATCACAGAAGCATGTCAGTTTTTAATGCAGCGCCATGTGGAAAATTGAAGGGTGTTTAGTTGTGGTTTTCGGCCTTGTCCTTTACGCACAGAAATGTCTTCAGATTCTCTGAATCTTTCAATAATGTTATGGACTGTAAACCCTGAATAAAAACAGAACCGTTCCTAAACCGAGGACTACTCACTCAGTTTTCCCCCACAGTGCTGACTGAGCCTTCCGTGAATGCCGCTTTTATACACAGCCATGATAACATCACCTGTTTACCTGCATAACATTCCAAAACAGGGTGTTCTTGATCATTCCACAAATTTCCTAGACTTACATTACTGTTTTGTTCCAGGAACTAAACTGAAATTATCATGCATTCATAAATATCATTAAAGTCAATAAGGTAAAACATGAAATCTCTCTTCTCTGAGCTGATTTCAATTAAATATCTGTAAAGGACAGTTTACAAATCAATGCTTTCTGTTTTTATTGCATTTTATCTACTGTCCCCAATTTTTTTGGAAATGGGTTAGTATTGTATGATTTTTCACTCAACGCAGCTAAAAATAACAAAACCCACAGTCCACACTTATTGATTTGTTTTCAGTAAAAAGAACTTGGTACTCCACGCCGAGGGCGACATGCCAACCAAAGCGATGTCATAATTCAGTTTGGCAGCAGCCAATCCCTTTCCATGAAATGCATCCTGTACAAATCTAAACGGCACAAGATCAGAGCCTTACAAGCTGAATCCTAGGCAAGGTAATCTGATTAGGCCCTAAGCAGCGCCCTTCTTATTTTCTTCCATGTCTTTAGCCTGTAAATGGTGGCTTCTTGGAGACGTGCCCATTTTAAGCTGGACAGAAGTCTGTAAATCTACAATATCTTTTGTGTTTGAAGATATATCAGGTATATCTGGCAGGGCTGAGGGTCGGCTGACCGGAACGATGGTCAAGCAGATCACTGAAAACGTTTTGCTATTCATTATCAGCAGGAGGAGTAAAAAAGAACAGCGAGAGTCACCTTAGGATTAGCATCCGAAGCATGCTTCCTTCTTGGGTTCATTACGTGGTGCCGGCAGATTACAGAATTAGATTATTTGGAGCAGGTTCACTCATTTGTTATAACACGACTACAGCATAAAAGATCATTAAAAACCTTCGCACCATCCCACTTTTAGTTATATACGAGCATGAAGCCATTGTCACCCAAAAATAGGTCACAACTGATGCAGGGCTACTTTGTTTTAGAAGAAAATAAGCAAGCGTTCAGCTTTTCCACAGCCAGTACGCAGAAAAAGGCACCATTTTTCAA